AGATTCTGTGTGAAGTAGAGATGCAGGCGCAACATTTCTGGATCTTCCTTGGCCAGAAAACAATTGTCTATATATGAATCTGGCGATGGACTTGGTGACGCAGGTAAATAACCATGGAGACGAAGAAATTCCAAACGGGAGCACTTTCCATTGATAATGGCGGACGGGAAAAAGGAACCGAAGGAAATGTTGGTGCTCCCGAAGGAAGGGGACATGTAAATATGCGACCTGTGGATATAAGCTGATCATAAAATCACTGGGATGAAGAATTGTGCGTAACAGTGAGATCGAAGTCATCCGGAAGTGAGGAGGTACTTCTAAAGTACTGTCGGAAATGCTAGAAAACTTCTTTTTGACTGTCAAAAAAGGATATCATTTTTCACAGACTGTTGTTATTAAAATATTGAGTAACTAACGATCGCACTACCTGTGGTTGGAAGTAACGAAAACAGGAAGTTTACATTTATTCTAAGTCCAATGGTGGCAATCTGAAACGGACTATAGAAATATGTGCACGTGACTTCGTTATAATGATAATAATGTAGTCTTCATAAAACATCTAATCCACACACAAAAATCATTTTGAGAAAATTCTAGATTTGCATCTTCTAAAATGACAAAATGACGATGTGTCTGCTTTGTTAACATTGCTCCCATGAAGCATGTTACATTACACTTGCATAGCAATAACCATGGTACACGATATGGAGTCTGTACTGGGAAATGTATACAAGTTCTTTACACTTTAGAGAGATAGAGAGAAACCATTTATTAATTTAGATAGGGTGAATTACTGAACTGCCCAAGCTATTGGGTTTTCAATTCATACCATCAAGTCTACAGTATCATAAATAAAACAAAACAGGTATAGCGGTGGTCTCAAAAACAAAACTGGATGTAAAAGGATATTAGACAGCTTGATTCAGGGTGATTAAGCTTATAGTGTACAAGCTTTATGAGCAGAAGGTAACCCTACTTGTAGTAGAATTAGGGAGGAATTAAAGATACAACTGATGTTAACTGCACAAACTAATGTTCTCCAATAGATGGGATTTCGATACACTGCGCGTGGTGATGACCAAGCACTTTTCAGGGGAAAATATTCCATCCTGTCTATGAGGTCACATTATCTCCGAACCATTCATAACTATCACAGTCAGGGTGTCCAGATTTACCTTGATGAATCATTCCACTGACTACATGTGGCTATCGGCAGATGGACAAAAAGCCCCCACAGACCATCAGGTAAAGGTAAACTTGTCATTGCTTTGCATGCTGCAACCCATGATATGGGGCTTACTGATAGATGTGTCTTAGTTTGTGAGGCAAAAAAGAAAACTGGTGATTTTCATAAGGAAATTATAGGAGGTGATGTGTTCATAGACTGGTTCGAACTTCAGCTATTGCCCATTTTAAACAATGTCAGTGTCATTGTCATGGATAACAGCCAGTTAATATAACGTCCGGGAATCAAATACTGTCGCCCAAACCATGAGTAGTCTGAAGGCGACCATACAGGAATATATGACATTGTCGACTTCAGACCATATAAAGCGAAAGTTCAACTCATGGAAAAATTTCAGCTGAATAAAAACAGGACATATGTGCTGGCGGCACAACCCTCAACCCTGTTGTGCCCATCTTGGCAAGACATAACACAACATTCAAAAGTACAGATTCATATGTACGTCATCATAAATAGATAAATGCTACCTCAAGAAATCATATGGAGAACAACAAATACTTCTGGATTCCAAAACCGCAACCTTCCAATACTCATCCTGTTTCAGTGAGTGAGTGAGTGAGTTAATATTTAACGTCACATCGGCAATATTTCAGCCATATCGTGACGAGTCATCCTGTTTCAGAGCTCTTAACTATTCCATCATGTTCCCAAGCAAATATAATGCAGTACATATCCTAAATTGCTACCCCATCAATGCACATGTCAATTAAGTACAATAACAGCAATATTTTGAGACCGCCCCCCAACTTGGTGACATTTGCACCTGTGAGAATGCACAGGACAGTGTGAGGTCATCACCTCGGGACAGACGTTAAGTAAGTACCTCAGGTTATAGGCCATTTCATACATGCATGACATCACACGAATATTTGAAAAGTTGATCATCATTTTACCTGTAAAAGTACATTTTAAGCGTAATCACAGTGTCAGTTAGGACAGGCTAGATTAGGGCAATTTGCAGTATTTTGATATATGGTCTTTTTATAGTTCCATGACTCGTATTTATTAAATGAAGCCAGAAGTTTTCTAGCATTTCCAACAGTACTTTAGGTACAAGTTGTTGAATATTTCCACGTTGATAATGAGGCGTAGTGTGCGGCTGTCTTTCTTTAGAACCAGAAAAATTGGGGAATAGAAGCCTGAAGTGGTCAGAGCTGTACCCAGGCATCTTTGTCGCTCTTTGTGAGTAACTTTTCTACAGCGTCAATGAGAATGGGAAGTTGATTGACCGGATACTGACAAGACGACGGCACGTACGTTGTGTGCGGTGTCAGAATGAGAGGTAGTTCATACCGTCCCGTAGAAGACGAAGAACAAAGGGATTGTCCAAAATGATCCAGTTTTCTGCAAAGAGGCCCATCTTCCGCCGACAGGTGATGGATCCATCGGGACGGCTTGGGGCGGATATGTCATGGATATGGGCAGAGTCACCGTGAGGTGGAGTCTCCCTTCCTGGGAGATTCGCCACTTTTACACTCGGAAAAGGAAACGGTACATGCAGTTGACTTCCTTCTGTGTTGCCCTTACTGGCTTCTTCACCGTCCACAAAAGGAGCTGGACCTCAAGCTAATGACTTCACAAAGGTCAACATGCATACAGAGTGTGCATGAACCAGATTGTTGGGAGGTAACCATGGTGATGTGAGGTGTGTACAGGCGAATTGTTTCTTTAGAAGCTGGAAACCTTTGTATTAGCACGTTTTCCACTTAGGATAGAAGAAGAAAGAGAGACGCATAGTGTGAGAAAGGATAAGTTTAAAAATATGCCTTTTAAGGGCATGGTCAAAACAAGGTTAAAATATATGATATATTGCAAACAAAAGAATATGTTGAGGCCACTACTAACGTAACTTCACAAATTTTAATTTCGTTAAATTTTTAACAAATATACACAACACATGAAAATCCCACACTTGTCAAATTAACCCGACTGAGATGTATTTGTTCACAGTTTTTTAAATAATTTTTAAAACCCAACAAGACAGTCGGGCAGGTGTCTCATAAGTGTTGCCTGCCAATCTTCAAAGTTACCTTCAGACATTATAAATATTGAAAGATAAAAAACAAGAGTCATCCGAAGATGACATATCCCCCCCGACTTGGCATGTCGGTAAACTGTGTATACCATTTGAGCATTTAGATTGTTAAGGTAATCTTTTTCCTTGATGCCAAAAACAGAAATATAATGAAGGTTATTAAATATTGGTTCATGTAGCTCACTTTCTGATGATCTCATGAAATTGTAATAACAACAACTTCGCAGATTCGCATATGAATAGCTCTGTTGTAGCCTCATGACACAAAGGCATAAAGAGAATGTACTAGGTTATGTAGCTCACATCATATATAGTATATGATATCGATAAATAGTATACCTTAGAAAAAAATGTTATTAAAATCTATAAATAATAAACTGCACTACTAGTGAACATGATTGATATGTGCATAAAGTTTGGTGAATCTCTGTCGCATGGTTTAGAAGATATGCTCCAGACGAGGACATTACCCTAAGTACATCAATTTTCAATTTAAATTGAAAAAAGAAAAAAAAAGAAAAAATCTGTTAATAGCAAAGGCACCACTACATAACCTGCTTGATAGGTGTAAAAACCTTTGAGAAGCTAAGTTGTATGGTTCGGGAGATATGGTCCGGACAAGAGCACTACCCTCAAATTTCCTAAGTTCATCATATTTCCATGGAAACGACAAAAATATAAAATTCTAAAAATCTCTAAATAGCAAAAGGCACTTCTACTGAGCCTGATTGTTAAGTGTACCAAGTTTTGCGAAGCTAGGTTGTACGGTTTAGAAAATATGCTCTGGGCAAGAGCAGTACCCTCAAATTTCCTAAGTTCATCATATTTCCATGGATACGACAAAAATAAAAAATTCTAAAAATCTCTACATAGCAAAAGGCACTTCTACTGAGCCTGATTGTTAAGTGTACCAAGTTTGGGGAAGCTAGGTTGTATGGTTTAGGAAATATGCTCCGGACAAGAGCACTACCCTCAAATTTCCTAAGTTCATCATATTTCCATGGAAACGACAAAAATAAAAAATTCTCTAAATAGCAAAAGGTACTACTACTGAGCCTGATTGGTAAGTGTACCAAGTTTTGGGAAGCTAGGTTGCACAGTTTAGGAAATATGCTCCGGACAAACAATGATTACAGACAGACGGACGGACGGACGGACAGACATACTGATTATATGTCGGGGGGATAAAAAGAAGAGATAAATCATGTTAAGATTCAATTACTATATTTCAAACACCTACTTCAGAATCTACAAGGAGTCATAATAATTCTGAATACATAAGTAGTCCTAACATTATCTGCCAGACAGTCAGGCAGGTGGAGGAAAATTCATTCAGCCCGACAGAAAAGTTACCAGCCATGGGCAGTTATTTCGAACACTCTTTGTTCATGAACTGGAATGAATGGAAAGCCACATAAACATACTTCTAATAGTGACTTGAGAACTCATGCAGTACATGCCATAGAATTGTCCGAAAATAGCTTTCCTAACTTCATTTTCAGACCATGCTAGTATCTCTTCCTTGCATCTTGTGTATTACTTTTGTATCAATAGATGACCTCATAAAGCCACACCCATATACACATATATTTCAATGAATCTTACAGGCCCTTATAAAGGTATGATATCAATATTAACTCATTTCAGTACCATCTTAACAAAAAAATTGTGGACAACTAGGAACTCTCAAATCCTGGACTGACAAAAACAAAGTCATACCACACTCTCCAAGGGCTGAGAGCCAAACACTTTGAAAGACGATCCTGTCTGACTTGGTTTGCCTGGTGTACAACACAAGACAACGGCCTGCTGCCCAACACGGGTTGTGTATTCTTCTATGGTGCTCTTCAGTTTCCTGCAGAATAAACAGAACATCAGCACTCACATATAAAGCTAATAGAGTAAACTTTATCATAACAAATTATACCGGGTAATACATGGGTATGCAGCATGCTTATCTAGGCATCAGGGTCAGAAATTAGTTTATTTTTTCACCATGTTCTCTTGTCCTAAAAAAAGATCTGCTATGGACTTGTCGTCTATGTAATGCTAAAAGTGGTTGTCCGCACAGAAATGTCACTAGTTCTTCCTGAATTCTTTACTTGTCTCAGCCTAGGTTTGTGTTAATTTTGAACCCTGGGCAGTGATCAAGTAAAAATGTGTTTAACACAGGACACTGAAAATTATGAAAATCTTTAACGTCAGAAGTGTGGCCAGGTTTCACTAAAATATCTTCAAATTAAATGTTCACTCTATGATGTACACACTACAAACTCCCGAGCATTTTACTATAATGTTTATAGCTATATGATGAATATGCAAGAAAACAGTTAATTTTAAAGCAAGATTCTCTAGTAAATTCTCTACTGACTGTTTAATAATTGTCACTAATTTCAGAAAATTGCAGGCTTGAGGTATGACAACTTCTGACCAAATACCATGTGACTTCGCCTTTCAATCCATTTGTGCCTTGAAGATCTTATCGAAATGACCAGCATTCTTAATTCATGCTTACCAACGCTCAAACATAACCTAAAACATGTCCCAGCCTGAAGTGATAACACATATAGACACTCCCTACAAAGACTAACGTTCCACAAGCTGCCAGGCTAGAAGGCTAATGTAAATTTCTCTCCCAGCTCACCTGAGCAGCCTTGTCTGTTGACGCTTGCGCCTGGAGGGGTTTGTTTCAAACTGATGTGGATGCCCCTTCTTCTTGCCAGTGGCTATTGCAGCAGCAGCAGCAATCCCAACAGGCCCTGCAACAGTAACAGTAGCAGATGATTAGAGCTGTACTGATCCACGGAGTAGTGACATAATTATATCTGTCAAGCACTTCTTTAATTTGCTCAACCAAATACAACTGCCAATGACGGAGTGATGTACACAGCTGATGTAGTAACCATACATTCTGCTAATCATGTTTATGTTTAATCTGTCAATAATTATCTATCATGTCTATAGTTACATGATCTACAGAGATTCAAGTCATTAATCCTAATTATTATGATTATAATGCATACTAGCATGTATAGGACCATCCTCAGTTAGTATTTACTACAAACCATATGGGTACCTACTATTCACTGCAAGAGTTATGTTACAGTAAGTTCACAGATTGTTACACCTACTTCCCATTTGTATATGAATTGTCATGATGATGATGATGTACACTTACCAGTAGGGCTGTGTATTGACCTGGATTTTGTATTGAAATATACTGCCTCACTTTAACCTGTATTGCAATATATTGCCAATTTACATTTTCATGAGGGTCAGTGTCCCTCACTATTTTTCCTTTTTCAGTGAATAAATGTATGATAAAGAGATTAAAAAATAAAAACAAAACAAGAGGAGCTTGACAGTCGCGATGTGTACACGCTTATTGATAGAAAGATCGTCAGAGGCAAGTTGTATCAGAAAGATACTATTTTCCATCTCCATATTGATTAGGAACACATAAATATACTTATTTATATTTTCCCCAATATACAGTCAAGTCAAGTCTCGAGTATGTCGGATTAACGAAATTAAGTGATTTGTGATCGAAAATCGGACATTACTCACTGAATATATCACATCAACCACACACGTTTCCTCATGTAAATGCAAGTGCTACTGTCTTAACAACTTGCTTCATCTACTTAAAATAGTCTGTCAGTGTTTTCTGTTTCTCACATTTTGAAGGCACATTTCTCAAAGTCCCCTGTTCGCTTGACGTCTAGGGCTTGTGGTTCTTCAGCATCAACATTGTCGAGGTGTAATTTCATTTGCTGTTTCTTATAATAAAGCTTGAAATTCTTTATAATCCCGGCATCTAGTGGCTGAATGTGCGATGTGGTGTTTGGTGACAAAAAGTGACATTTCACATTAGTTGTGTCGACAGTAGCATGGGATGGGGCGTTGTCCAACAGCAATACCACGTGGCGTCGCTCCAATCGCATTTGCCGATCCAAGATCAGTAGCCAGGCTTTGATATTAATGAAGTCATCCATGCTTTCTTGTTTACATACCAGTCGACCATGTTTTATATACCTGTTCATATTTTAAACTGGCTTCATGCACATTTATCTGGCTTCAATCTGTAAACTACATTTGTATAGCTTTGTACATACAGGTTTGAATAGCTTTTCCTGTTAATTGTTAAAGTTAATCTCTGCAGCCAGTGCGTGTCAAAACACGGGGTTGTGTACTCGCGGGTAGATGACCAAGGAGTACGCTGACCACTGTGTCGGATTAACGAGACTGATTAATGAGTGATTTCGGTAATTCGTTGCAAATTAGGTGTGTCGGAGTGCGAGAATGTCGGATTAACGGGACTAAATAGCACTGAATCAATCGGTTCCCATCATTTGTGTCGGATAAAGCCGAGTGTCAGATTAACGAGTGTCGGATTAACGAGACTTGACTGCATTGCTACACTGAAAAAAGTACCGCAATACGTATTGCTGAAGATTTGCACCACAATATACCGTGTACCGGTAATACCGCACACTCTTTCTTACCAGCAGCTGCAAGCTGGGCAGTCACATCATCAGTCACTGTCCCTTGGAGGAAGTCGGATGTATCAAAACCACTCTCAGGGGAGCTAGGCTCACTCAAGTCATCTTCCATCATAGCATTGATCTGAGAAGTCATGGTCACATTTCCTGCTATAGTACCATGCACTGTAGATGACATGCCGGCGTGATTCATACTGTCAGATACGGTTACTGTAACACAATGGGAAGCATGTAAAAACTATCAAACAAAGGTCCAGCCATTTATCATAGCATCCATGGGAGTATTTTGAACAATTGTTATTGAAAACCTTGAGTAGTGAGAATTGCATTATTCCAGTCTATGGTAAATCATTGGAGTTAACGAGGCCATCTGAAAGAAATTTTACTCGACACACATTTTGAGCTAGGACTAAAAGTTGTAGACCAGGGTGCTAATGTTTTGTACAATGACACCCAGGGACTTAACTTGGATTTCAAATAAAGTGCTCTTGGTACCAGGAGAGAAAACTGGGGAAAAATCCAAATCCTTCAATCCAAATTGGAAGTTTTCTTAATTTCTGAAGATTATTTAACATAGTATCAAGTACAGCTTAGCATTATAACATCTGCTTTATTAACATTTTTCAGCGAAAGTCACCTTAAACAAAACATAACATTAGCAATATTGGTTATCATAGTTCATTAACATGAATTGGTAAATATACAATTCCTATATGTTTTTACTGATGTGCTGTGGATTTTGAATCGAATATCGGCCTCTGAGCAGGTGTAGATAACTCCTTGTGCAGACTGTTGTCATGTCATAATTGTCATGACAGTAAGCACTGTAATTTGTTATATTTCTTTTAACACATTCTTACTTGTAGGCCTACATTTAAATTTGTTACAGACAATACTAAGACATATAGGGTATCCCTCACTATCTGATATTCAGTTTGTGTCAATTTACCAGATGTATTATACGCCTGATTTCTGTGAAATGACTATACGTATAGTCTGCAACTTTAGCATCTCTATCTGGGGCTGGCGTCAAGTAAGATAGATTGAACTTACAATATTAATTAACTGAACTGAAAGTATCTCTGCCTCTTCCCCCCTCCTTCCATGCATAAAATATATTGATAAACCAAAACAATTGTCAGTTGTAAGCAGTCACACATAAAATAACAAATACTACTAACAACAGGAATGGTCGTGGAATGATGCAGGTTACTATGACTTTCTTCACTGCAATTTGTGCAAACATTTGAGTTTTTCAACAAGTTGGGTTTTTCATAAGAGTGGTACGGACCGGCAAACTTAGTATTGCTGAGGAGTTGTGGACATATTTTTGTGGTAAAAATTAACATTTAACTTGTATTACAACGTCAGTAGAAGCCGATCAGAAACAAGTGAAGTATTTTTGACCATTATGGTTGCCAGGGCCTTTGATCTACATTATGATAATGGCCGACATGAAGCCTGAAGGAACACGGGTTTGGGGGTTTCGAAATGGGAGATTATTTTTTGAATATGGGGGTACGTTTATAGGCATCAAACGTGTCGTCTGCATTCGGCCGTCCAGCAGCGCACATCTCTGTGCGCAAGCGGGAGTCGAAATATTGCCGAGCTTTGCGACTGCGCTTGAGCCTGCGCGGAGGGTATTAGACATTCTTTCCAGTCATGAGTTACACATATCGTGCACTTGTCGGAGGACGGTATACTCGTTCGGATATTATTTATTCAATACATTTTAATGGGTCCAATGGAATTTATTTACAGAACTTCCGTTAGAAATTTCATTTCATCGCCACTCATCGAGGTAGGCAAAGTTCCAAACGCAAAACACAGCTAGGAGTTGACGACAAATCTCTGCAATCTTCTGGCAGACATCTTGTTTTCAGAAACTGCCCTCTGCGTCTGCGCAGCCCTATCGAAGTAAATTTTCTGGATGTACACACTAAAACACTGTGATAAGCCACTTTCCTTAATAGATCATTATGTTTTTGCTCCAAGATCAAGAAATGTACCATGAAATGGAAGAACCAGCTGAATCTCTCCTACATACCCACCAATATCCTCCTTGATCGAGCCAATATTGATGTATCCTTCCGCACTGTTGATGTGTGCGGAGGCTGATGAATTATTCGTCCGCTTATGAAGAAGAGTCCCTGATTAATAGGCACATTAGCCGTACAAGAAACCTGAACATGTGAACGTGAACATATCAGTTTCGAGTGCACTGAATACTTGTCTTTTAGTGGGTGACAAATGTGTAGATCTGGGTTGTTGAAACGGTGGACTGATACACTGTCTATGTACCTGTGAATGGTGACTTCCTTCAGCCAGTTGTAGATCTGTGAAGATTATTGATTACCACAACCACATTTCGTAAAATTCATTCTGTACTTATGAAAATGTATCACGATTTTCTGCACACAAATATTACTTGAAAAATATCCAGATGCAACATACCCACATTGATGAGACTGGAATAATATTGTATGGAACATTATTTTACTAACAAGGTGTCAAACGGATGAAAACACAATTCAATATTATGCGAGCTAATTTGATACATTTATAGCGAGCTTTGACACGTAAAGTACTTCTCACTCCGTGAAGTGAAAATGGTACATATAATTTAAAAACTTCGAAAAAATGAAACAATTTGAAACTACATATAGGCCTAATTTTAAACATCGCCGATACAGAAAGTTGAGACATTTTTATGAGGGCATTGATGTTGTGGTTCTTTTTTTTGTATTGTCACAAGACTCGAACGAGCGATCACATACCATTGTGTGCCCATACAGTCTCTGTTAGATACCACCTGACACCCCAAAACCTTGTATGAACGACAAACACGCCATGAATAAAGTGTTACACCCTTTTGCGATATGTTTGTCGTTTGCATGTCGAGATCTCTGTTTTCAACGAAGTTGAAACACATTCCTTTGGGCATTCCCCCCACACTGAGTCTCGCGTATATATACAGACACAATCACATGTTGATTTTACAAGTAGTTTCGTTACATTAATTATTGGATTTAAGTTGTTTATCTTCCTCGAGTATCTCAGTGAATAACTGTTGTCCAGACATAAAAGATTTAGTAGAGGATGAATACAATGTCTCTTTTATGTAAGAAATATATTTACTTGAGAAATAGGTGGGTTTCTTTTTACCTCATTACAGAAATATTATAAATATAAAATTACGTTTGGAAATTTATTTTGCCCCTGTGATACTAATGTAACACTCTGGAAATGTGACTTTAAATATGATTTATCTTACAACAGTGCTATATGGCCCATGTGGCCTGAATTACGAAATAAACTTGATTGGTTGAGAGATTTGGTATTGAAAGACATATTCAATGTTTGTTTTGTTGTTTAACGCTGCACTCACTATTCCAGCTATATGACGGTGGTCTGTAAATATCAAGTCAGGACAAGACGATTCAGTGATTGACGTCACGAGAATCGATCAATGCAATTAGGGTACGATGACATGCATCAACCAAGTCAGCGAGTCTGCAACAACCCAATCCCGTTAGTCGCCTCGTACGACAAGCATAGTCGCCTTTTACGACAAACATGGGAGGCTAAAGACCTATTCTAACCCTGATCTTCTCGGGTCTTAAAACATTGTTTCGAGGTTTTGTTTGTCATTTGTAAAACGCCATACAGCTGTTTCGGAATGCTATTTGCGATAATAACATTACATTTCAAACCAATAGTGTAAAGGTAGATGCCCCTTGATAACGGTGTTAGAACCTACACCGAAACGTCGCTCTTAATTGTAATAAAGAAGTTGTTCATCCATAAATTCCTGTCCGTACTTAGTACTCCAACTTCTAAATGCCTATCAAAGAAATTACATTTCAAAACACAACTTTCTACAGGTAGCACTGGATGACTAATATTTCCTGTCGGATCTCGAAATTACAACTCCCTAACATATATTCTCGTGCCCACAAGTATAGTTATTAACAGACCTTGCCACCAAAGAGCATCTACCTTTACACTACTGGTTTTCCGCCCCGTGAAGATTCCGGGGTAGAATAGGTCTTCAGCAACCCATGCTTGCCGTAAAAGATGACTATGCTTGTCGTAAATGGCGCCTAACGGGATCGGGTGGTCAGGCTCGCTGACTTGGTTGCGTGGATCGATGCTCATAATATTAACTACTGGATTGTCTGGTCCAGACTCGATTATTTACAGACCGCCGTCATATAGCTGGAATATTGCTGAGTGCGGCGTTAAACAACAAACCAACCAACCAACCAACCAACTGGTTTTCCTTCGACATTTAGGTTCAGCCAGTGTCCAGCGTTTTCACCATTCATCGAAAACAGGGAGCTGATTGTAGGGACACTGGCTGTAGAGTAGAGACGGTCATATCACAGGCGGTGTTATAACCAAACCCGTATTACACCCCCTATCGGGCTGATATGGTGTAGGGGGGCATGGGTGGCCCAGTCGTCTAAGGCGCCGCCATTCGCTGTGCAGAGTTGCGTCCCTTGGGCCCCACCAGCGACCTATGATTGTGGGTTCGAAGCCTGGTTCACCCCGATTATGTTTCTAGGTTTGTCAGCACCATACCCGTGATCGTGGGTTTCACCGAACTAGTAAACGTCGGAAACCTGCATCACTTCGGGCTTTCCTCCCACATTAAGCTGACACGCCGTGATATAACTGGAATACTGTTAAAAGCGGCGTAAAACCCAACTCACTCACTCACTGATATGGTGTATCCATGAATGGGCGATCGATATCAGTCCGTATGGTAAGAAATTGGAGTTACGCCCCTTAGTGCGTCGTCTGCTCGTCTACTCGGCAAGGCTAGCTTTACCGTAACAATTGCTTACAAACAAGGTCAAAATATATTGTATTCATTTGCAAATAGAATTATGGAGCTAGATACTATGTTGGAAAAAACTGAGGACAGATTGTAAAGCGAAACGGACACGGAAGGTTTTGTGAACAAATGAAAAAGACAAGAACACGGTACGTAAAACCGATACATGAAGCTATTCCGACACGATTTTGTCTCAGTCGGCGAGATGCGCATACGCGGAATTTATTGATGGATTAATTTAACAATTAGACTTTGTGGTATGTGATGAAAAGGATAATATTATATGACATGTTTCCTATCATACCCCATGCCAATAATAGTACAGGGGGATTCTTTGAACGTAACACATGAATCAAGTTGTGGTAGACTTACACTTAGTCTCTGAAAATATTTCTTTAACATAATTGTAATCTTACACTTACAGAACACTTGCCGGTATGCTCCTTATGCGCCCTCTCATGTTTTGTTCAATTTTGAGTGAGTGAGTCAGTGAGTGATTAGGGCCACATGCAGCAAAATGCCTGCAACATGGTGTAGCCTTCACACATCGTACTAGAGAACTTGCTGAAGGCTGTAACCTGCAGTATAGATTACCTCAGCATAATATAAAACACTTTTGTCGTCAATACTTTTATGATTGAAGGCTGAGAAGGCTTGAAAAGGGATACAGTTCAGGGCAACACTGGACATTTTATACAACAGGTAGGGGGCCCCAACCTCTCTAAGTTTAACATGGTTAAAGAGGACGACAGGACAGCATTTTTGTTCTAGGATGGTATGTTGAACATCTTTCTTGCTGTTCACCTGGATCCCACAGCATAACTTAGTCAACAAATCAGAATTGGAACTGTCTATATGCCACCAACGGTACCACACGCAGAATCTCCTTGACCAGTAAATTCTTGTTTGTTTTCCTAATCCAGCAGTCTCGTGTTGTGCATCTGCTGCGAGACCCATCCACAACTCTTATTGAGGGGTGGAAGGTCACAACTCTTATTGAGGGAGCGGAAGGTCACAACTCTTATTGAGGGAGTGGAAGGTCACAGCTCTTATTGCGGGAGTGGCAGGTCACAGCTCTTATTGAGGGAGTGTAAGGTCACAACTCTTATTGCGGGAGTGGAAGGTCACAACTCTTATTGCGGGAGTGGAAGGTCACAACTCTTATTGAGGGAGTGGAAGGTCACAACTCTTATTGAGGAAATAGAATGTGACAACATTTAATGAGGGAGTGGAAGGTCACAACTCTTATTCAGGGAGAGAAAGGTCACAACCCTTATTGCGGGAGTGGAAGGTCAAAACTCTTATTGAGGGAGCGGAAGGTCACAACTCTTATTGAGGGAGTAGGAGGTCACAACTCTTATTGAGGGAGTGGGAGGTCACAACTCTTACTGAGGGAGTGGGAGGTCAAAACTTTTTTTTAGGGAGTGGAAGGTCAAAACTTCTATTAACTCTTATTGAGGGAGTGGAAGGTCACAACTCGTATTAAAAGAGGTGAAGGTCACAACTCTTATTGAGGGAGTGGGAGGTCACAACTCTTACTGAGGGAGAGGGAGGTCACAACTCTTATTGAGAGAGTACGAGGTCACAACTCTTATTGAGGGAGTGGAAGGTCACAGCTCTTATTGCGGGAGTCGAAGGTCACAACTCTTATTGAGGGAGTGGAAGGTCACAAATCTTATTGCGGGATTGGAAGGTCGCAACTCTTATTGAGGGAGTGGAAGGTCACAACTCTTATTGAGGGAGTAGAAAGTCACAGCTCTTATTGCGGGAGTGGAAGGTCACAACTCTTATTGAGGGAGTTGAAGGTCACAGCTCTTATTGCGGGATTGGAAGGTCGCAACTGTTATTGCGAGAGTGGAAGGTCACAACTCTTATTGAGGGAGAGGAAGGTCACAACTCTTATTGAGGAAATAGAATGTGACAACATTTAATGAGGGAGTGGAAGGTCACAACTCTTATTGAGGGAGTGGAAGGTCAAAACTCTTATTAAGGGAGTAGAAGATCAAAGCTCTTATTGCGGGAGTGGAAGGTCACAGCTCTTA